GCCACTCCGTTGTTGGTTTTTTTTTTTTGTTTTGTTTTTTTTTTTACCCTGGTGTGATTAGGGCACCTTCCAGGCCTGGTACTAGAATGGCTCCGTTCCTGTCTCTGGGCAAACTGCTTGCCCTGTTTTCTTGCCACACCTTGTTGGTAAATTGTTATGATGTAAAATAGGTGGGAGGCTGCTCTTTGTGCACCCAAATGACCATGGACGATATATACATGCTCCTACCATCCCTATACATGTCCTATGCCTTGCTGATGTCCCCCGTGTGATGATATTCTGGCTCAAGGCTGGGCCAAACTGGGCACACAGTTGTATCTTTTGCATACTGCCTCCTTCTGGGCCGTGCACACACCATCCCCCTCTCACCATGGCCTCTTGCACTCCATTGGCTCTCACCCAGTCTCTTGCACACTGCCTAGCCAGGCTATGTTCACACCACCCTACACAGAGATCCTCGGGCTTTGCTCTCCACTCCTCGGTCAGCCCTGCCATGGTCTTTTGGGCCTCTCCTATGACCCTCACCCAAATGGGGCTGAGCAATTGCTCAACTCTGGGCCTACTTTGCTCCTGGCCCCTCACCGGACCACTAGGCCACTCTCTCAGGCCACATCTCTGCCCCTTACACTCAGGCCTGGTGTCTTGCACCCCAACAGGTTCAGGTGCGTCTCTTCCTTAAGCGTACTTGACCTTCACTCCACCCTTTCCTCAGGGCCCATATCCCAAAGAGTGCAGTTTTAGGTTATGCCCAGGACCAATGAGGCCTCCTCCTTCCCCATAGCCTCACCCTTACTTCCAAGATATTCCAAGAGCAAGAGCTCCACCAGGCAATGTTACTCCTCAGGCAGCTGAATACAAACTGCTCTGCTCTTATAACAGAGCTCTGCAAAATGGCTGCTCTCATGAGCCACCTGGCAGCTCCCTGCTCCAGCTCTTAAAGTAACAGGCACCCAAAAGGGTGTTCTGTTATACCCGGGATGGGTCAGAAAACACAGGGAATGCCTGCATGTGTGGTGTGTGGAGCCTCAGATGGGTCTGTGGCACCACATACCACCCGTCTGCGCTTGTCTGAATGTGCCTTTGTTGTTCACTTTCATTAAATCTCTCCTTGTATTTTGAGGAAAGATAAATATTTTATCTTCTTAATCATGTCCTTTCTTATTCATGCACTCTTGAATCTAATTAGTCTGGGTTGGGGGGAGATGCTAAAAGCCATATGTTTAGATCTTGATGGGGGGATATCTTGTTCTGATTGACACTGATCCTGTTAGGCTGATTAGTATTATGATAGCATCAGACCTTAAATTAATCTTTTCTAGTTCTTGGACTGAAGGACAGTGGAAACAGTAGCACAACTGAGGATGTAAAATAGAGGTTAAATTTAGGGAGGTCACAGCATCCTCACCACCACCTGGAGATTTTCCAGGAAGAAGAAAGGCTTTTCCTTAACTAGGCTCTGTTCCTGTAGTCATACCTCATTTTGATTATTTTAGTTAATTCCATGGCCTTTTACAAGTTAAGGAGAAAGCAGGGTTAGAATCCAAATTTGAAATGAAGACCTTGAACAGCAAATAGCTAATATAGGCCCAGCAATTTCATTTTATAACATCAGATTCAAAATTAGGGTCACAGTATCTAGAAAAAGAAGAGGATTCTGGTTATTAACATTTGGACACAAAATGATCTGAAGTATGAAGATGATAACAGGAAATGGCTTTTTTACTTCTCAGTAAAGTCTGAGCCAGGAAAGAGATGCTTGATACCATTTAAATGTACTGAAACTCAGTGATAAAAATCTTGCAATTGATAAGCCTTTTCTGATTATACACTGAATTGATCTTAGATCAATAGAATGAGCTGTCCAGTGCAGCATATAGAATTCTAATTGGGAACTAGAGAGATTCAGGGCTAGACATCTTACTCCTTCATAATAAGAAAAAGAGTCTAGAATGTGAAAAAGGAACAGTAGAGCCGCTCAAAGTGTTTATTTGAAATATGAATAATAACATATTGAGATTATTGTATATCACGTCCAGACACCAGCCTCATCTACATGCGGCTCATCACATCAAAGTTTGATTAATCTTCTAAGGCAGGGATGTCAAATTCACCTTGGGCCCAGGATGGGGTCCAGATCTGGATCTGCAGGGCCAGCAGCTACTGTAGTGGGTGGGGCTGCATTCAGGAAGCAGTGTAGAGTTGCTTTTGCAAGGTAGCATGATTCTGGGGTCAGGCAGCAGCACAAAGCCACATTTAGGTGGCAGCATGGGTCTGGGGAGTTGCTGGTGATGGCCATGTCTGTAGGGGGCCAAAGACCCCGAATTTTGTGGCAGGTCATACTGTCTAACTTCCAGCAGCCTGACAGACTACTGGCAGGCCAAGTGGAACAGTTTCACTTCAGTATGTTTGACACCCCTCTTCTTAGGCCTGCATACCTATTCAGTTACGTATACTACACCCTATCATAACTCTCTTTTAATCTCACCTTCACTTTCTTAAGTGTCCAAAGTAGAATCAATGTCTAGTTGGAATAAAGTGGTGTTTATGTGCTGAAGTTCATTGAGGTTTTTGCCACATGTCTGAGATTGGAATCTGGTAAAACTCAGTACAGTAAAATTACAGGGGGGGAAAAAGTGATTCTGATATAACAGCTCCTTTCCTGCAGCAGTTATGCACACACACAACTTTATTGCCACAGACAGTCAGATGGAGACCTGTAGAGGTTGTTTAGAGCAGTAGTTACATGTGCACATTTGCACAGCTGTGCCTTTGCATCGAATGGCTTCCCTGAATGATTTCTTAAAGTCTGGAAGTCAAATGGTGTTTGTCTAATGGTCAGCTCTGCAGCTCAACTTACAGATGGAAAATTGAAATTGAAAACTTTCAGTTTATAGCTGTATTGATTCTGCAATCTTAGCAATAGTAAAAATTGTCTGTGTTAGTAAGTCAGTACTGTAACTCAGATACAGTGGGAGTAGGCACCCTTTTTACAACAGTTCAGACTGTATCTCCACTTTGAAGCTGACCTACAGACAGGATGAATGGGGTTGTGTCTTGAGTGTACAAGGGAGGATGAAGTTTTGCCTGTTTCCTTTTTTCCCTCTCTTTTCACCTTAAAAGTACCGGAAGTGTTAAGTCAGATTTCCCCTACTTTTACAGGGAGCACTCAGCAAGGTCTGTTATTTGTGAGTTTTCTTCACCCTGAAGTGAAGGACTGAGTGTATATACTGAATCTGTAACAAAAATCATATCTTCCTCTAACTGTTTCTGGTGTCTTATTCTTATTATTTTAATATTGTCAGTTGTAAAATCTTACTTTTATTATTGTTAATTGGATTTTAGTGTTATTACTTGGATGCATTTGAAATGTGTTATTTTTTTATAATTCTGAATAAAAATACAAATCATATTAGATTTTTTTCTGATGTTACAGTCCTTCCTCTTTCCAGTCATTTGTTGTTGTTTTTTTTAAGGGACAGTTGAGTGGAAAACACCTTATTTTAAAATTGAAAGAGAACTTGGGGGGGTGGGGGGAAAGGAGGAATCAGCCCTTCAGACTTTCTTGAAATAGCATAGAACAGCAAAAGGACACAGATCTCACTTTTCTTTTTGTAAGTCACTGATAAAGAACTAAATTCCCTTCTGGTCTCTTCCTCTGCCCTGTGTTCAGTGGTTTTGCATAGGTATGAATCAGAATCCCTACCATTTGGATTATTTTTCTTTTAGACTAAAGCAATTATGAAAGCTTTAATAGAAGACAGTGTCTGTAATTCTCTAATACTATTGAACTTATTCAGTGATGGTATATTCGAAAGGGCATGAGGAAAGGTTTGCCATGCAATGGAACAATGCTGAACAATATAGTACTCTGTGATTCTTAACAAAACCCCTCTGTCTGTATGTTTTGATTTTGTAGACAATGGCCTCTAAGCACAAAAATGCAAAACGAATTGAAGGGCTTGATAGCAATATGTGGTAAGTAACAGAGGAAGTTATGTGCAAAATTCTGGAAATCCCTTTGTTCATTTCCCCCCCCTCCAAATTTGTGTTGATTATTATGTATCTCTGTGATACTTGATCAGTGGTACTGGTTACCTCTGCTGATGAACTGTATTAACATGCATGCCTAAAAGATGGAAACAATGGGCCTAATTCTTTAGTGGGTAGTTAAGTTAAGACCGTATGTATTAGTTAATTATGGTTAAAGGTAAGAATAAAGTATCTGCTGTTCTAAATTAACCTGTATAAAGGGAGGAAAAGGAAAAGGGAGGACATGGCAACAAGATCAGGTTCCACTTTTATTGACCAATTTTGTTGAACAACCTGGTTTTGTTGGTTCCAACAGTTTGGTTTTGTATGTTTATCTCTTATCAGCTTGACCCTAACTGTTTTACATTGCCATATATGTTGCTAGAATTTAGCCTCTTATGTTTTAATATACTTTTATGCGGGCTTTATTATTCTTATAATAATGTCACAGCTGTTGTTGCTAGATAGTAGAATTCTGTTAGCCCTGGTAGTTGGACAGCTTGGTTAAATACACTTGATAGCTGTGACAGAGGTAAGCTTTCATGCCTGGTGCAAGCACTGGCCTGTCTCCTGTCTATGGGCCAGCTGCCCACCTCACTCTCCTGCCATGCCTTGATGTAATAGTAATAGGATGTTACTCAGGCAGGAGGCTGCCCATTTTGAACCCTGATGTTTAGGGGGATATCCCCAGCTCTATTCCACCCCTACATTGCAGCCTAAGCCTCGCAGATGACATCCCAGGCAGCTAACCTCAGTCATTCCCTTTGCCCATTAGCTGTGGTCCCCTCTCTGGGACTGTGACAGCAATAGCCCCAGAGGAGAACTTACCTGGGGGAGAAAGATGAGTGGAGCCAGCATGAAGCCATGCTGAGCTGGAGGAGCAGCGGGCATGGAGCCGCAGCCAGGGAGAATGCTGCGCCGGAAGGAAAAAAAAAAATGAAAAGCAGCTGATCCGCGAGGAGCTGGGACCAGCTCCCACATGGGAGTTGGCGCATTTTATGGCCGTGTGCTGGCGCCAATAGGCCGGCCGGCCCATTGAAAAGGGAATAAAAACCTCGCCGGACAAGAGGGAGGGGGAACTGAAAGTGGGTTCCCCGGTGGGCACTGAGCAGCCCAGAGCGGAGCAAAGCCCCACTGACAAAGTGGTGGCAGCCCTAGGAAGGGGCTTTTGGAGATAATTCACGCCCAGAAGGGCTATATTACTTGCCTGAAGTAGAGCCGCGGACTCCTGATGTCTACCAACTGGATTGGACCCACCAGGAACCTGAAGAGAGAAGGGGAGACTGCTGTCCACACCATGGCAACTACAAGCCAAGGAGAGAGGAACCGATGCCGGGAGACAAGGTAACCTGGGGTCAGGAAGACCTAGGCCAGTCCCACCACAGCCTAAACAGAGTGGAACGAACTGATGTCTGTGTACGTGTATGCGGATTCAAAAGGCCAAAACACGTGTAATGGTACAGTAACCAAACCCAGAAGACCAGAACTCAACATCATTGGTTGGTGTTAGGTGGAGTGTAGGGGAGGCAGAGCCCCAAACGGGAAGACAGGAAGATTGAAGGAGGGGACCAGGAGGGATGGAACATACATCTTCCTCCCTACTAAATACATTTATTACAGCAAAGACCTGGCAGGTGAAAGCCTCTGAGGACCCTCTGGAATCTGACTCAGTAGCAGGCTGTCTTTTCCTCAAGCAATGGTGACATCTGAAAAACATGTACGAACCAGATGTACTGGTGAATGGCACGGCCGATTACAGGGACCTTCAGCTCACCCTTAGGCCCTGGCCCCATCTCAGGCCAGTTGGGACCCCGAGCTTCTTTGCTCTGTGGGTATCCCTTGCGGCGGGCTCCTGGCCCTTTTGACCCCTCTCTGGGTCCTGGCCCTAGCATTGACGAACTGAATGCAGGTCTAAGCTGCTTGCCTGCCCATAGGCTTGGGGTCCCCCATTCCTGGCTCAGGTCTCCACAAATTGTGCCTGGCCTCATGGGTTCACTCACCCCAGCAGGCTCAGGCATTTCAGGAAGCTTACTTGGCCTTCCCTGCATTAAATAGCCCACCCAAAGGTGGGGCTAGAGGTTAAGGTGCCCTGATCCACCATACACTGGGAAGGTGCTCACTCTTGGCATTTACATGGGAACTGCTGTGCCACCTACATGGGAACTGCCGTGCCACCAGCAGCCCCACCAGGCTTTCCTGCCCTGGAAGGGTGCAGTTTTAGGTCATGCCCAGAACCGGTGAGGCCTCCAAACCATCCCCATAGTCTCACCCTTACCTCCAAGGTGTTCCTGGCAGAGCTCAGCAGAGAGTGTTTCTTTTCTGCTGGCTGATCACAAACTGCCCTCACCTCAGGGAGCTAGGCCTGAAAATGGCCACCCTAATCAGACACCTGCCCCTCCTTGGCCCAGTCATTGAAGTGACTGGCACCACCAGTGCCGTGCCAGAATAGGACCCTCATGTCAGTGACAATCCTACCTTGGACCCAGGTTGGCAATCTCAGTTATTTTTTAACTGGGTCTGTAACCTGCAGTGCTGTAATCTTTATTTTTATTCCTTTAACATATGGGGGTGAGGAACTGAAAAGGAAGGAGCACCTGAAAGCAGGGAAAATGTTTTAGAATTCAAAAGTTAGCTTTTGGCAGGATTAAGGGAACAACTAATGAGCTGCATGGAACAGTCCATTGGCTGATCTGATTAGGAAGTTTTATGAAGCTCAGGACTTGGCTGGTTGATTTCGTGACCCTGGTTAGTTTTAGGTTAGCTCAGCTTGCTTGGCTAGTTTCTCTCCAGAAATTCATGTCTGTTCCCACAAGATCTGCTGTGTTCTGAGTTGGGAAATCACCCCAGGGGTAGTGTTTCACTGCTGCTTACCTTTAGGGATTATTATGCTGAGGGGGTGCTCAGTTTTTGTCTGCAACCAGGATTCTGTTGGAGTTGTTGCAAGCGTCATTCACTAGATCCACTGCTTCCCCAGATGGTGCTGTCTGATTTTTGGTTTCTCTGTGTCCACTTTGCATTATCCCAGCCTCCCACTAGTGCACTTCCTGTTGCTGGAGGCAGTTTTCTTTAGTTGTGTTAATTTGACTCCTCGCAGATACAGCCTTTTGCTTGTTAAGGAGGAAATAGGAATGAGGTGATTTTATCTTTTTTTCCTTTCCAGGGTTGAATTTACTAAGGTGGCTGCAGATCCTTCAATTGTTAATCTTGGTCAAGGCCTTCCAGACATATCCCCTCCTAGCTATGTTAAAGAAGAATTAGCTAAAGCAGCAGCAGTTGATCGTCTGAACCAGTACACACGTGGCTTTGTGAGTATTTTTTAACATTGGGGAAAGTTTGCTATATGGAAAACTTCATGATTTTGTTTGTGATTACTTATATTTTCATAGTGTCGTTGATTTCTATTGCTGAGCATTGGTGTCCTATAAGACTTTACTAGTGATTGATAAACATCTCTAGTGCAGGTTTCTTTAAAGCAGAACCTTTCACTGAGAACATCATTTTATAATGCAGCATATATATCTGACAGATTGGCATCAAAGATTGATAGCAAGTCTTGTCTACAAGCGGGGGAAAAATGGGACTACAGCTTTAAACCTATATTTCCTGATTTGGGTCAGTGTAAACAGGATACAAAAAGGACTGTGATGCGATAAGAGAAAACGTACCTAATGGAATTGAAAGACAATACATGTAAACATATTTGGGTGTCTAACTTCTCTTTGGACACCTAGCTTTTGTGGAGCTAAATAAAGAGAAACTTGCTTCAATGGATTGGTGCCACTGTCTTTTACTCAATGTGTAATTGTTTGTGGAAATCAGTGACTAGTTTTATCTGAAGCATGTGACACTGGCCATTGTGAAAGGTTGGATACTGGAACAGGTGCCAAATAACAGCATTGGCAGCTTTGGCCTCAGCTCTGACTCTTACCCTGGGGCCAGGCTAAGCTGGGTAGGGGCCAGAGTCAGTAGGTGCTGCAGGCCATGGGCCAGAGCAGGGCTGGGGTCATGACTCAGGGTAAGGTAGGGGTGGAGAGTGGAGGAACCGGGAGGGGCAAGCATGGGGGACAAGTGGAAGAAGGTGGCAGACACTGTGGAGTTAGAGGCATGGGGGCAGGGGCAGGTGGCAAGGGGAATACATGATGGCGGGCAGGCACCAGAGGCATAGCTGTAGGAAGGCCCAGGCATGAGGGGGACAGATGGCAAGAGATAAGGTGCAGAGAAGGTGGTTAAGGGGTGAGAGTCAGGCTGCTTGACTCCCCTGCTACCTGTCCCCTTTCACTGCCTGCCCCCTGGCTGCTGCTTTTCCCAACACAGTGGTGGGTGGGACAAATTTAAGATGACCCTCCAATAATTAGATTCTCTACATAGAAAATTATTATTAAATTATTAATAAATTCAAAGTCATCTTTGATTCAGGTAAATAGGGTAGTTACTCTCCAGTGGAGAGAATCCATCGAAGTTGTCATGTGTTCTTGAGGATACTATTTCATAGATTTCATAGACTTTAGGGCTGGAAGGGACCTCAGAAGATCATTGAGTCCAGCCCCCCCGCCCAAAGGGTAGGAAGTCAGCTGAGGTCATAGGATCCCAGCAAGATAAGCATCCAATTTGCTCTTGAAGGTGTTCAGTGTAGGTGCTTGAACCACCTCCGATGGCAGGCTGTTAAAGACGTTGGGGGCTCGGACAGTAAAGAAATTCTTCCTTATGTCCAGCCTGAAATGGTCTTGTAGTAGTTTATGACCGTTCGACCTCATCATCCCTTGGCGCGCTCTGGTAAACAAACGTTCCCCCAGATACTGGTGGTCACCCCTGATAAACTTATAGGTGGCCATGAGATTGCCCCTGAGCCTGCACTTTTCCAGGCTAAAGAGCACCATGGCTCTCAGCCTGTCATCGTAAGGTCTGTTTTCCTGACCTCTGATCATGCGCATGGCTCTTCTCTGGACTCTCTCAAGCTTCTCCACATCCTTTTTGAATTGTGGAGCCCAAAACTGGACGCAGTACTCCAGCTGTGGGCTCACCAAGGCCGAGTACAAGGGGAGAATGACGACTAGGGATTTGCTTGAGAAACAACTACGGATTCAAGCCAGCGTTTTGGTCACTTCAGTAGCTGCAGCATTGCGTTGCAGGCTCATGTTCATCTTGTGGTCAATGATGACCCCCAAGTATCTTTCTTCCATAGTGCTAGCCAGTGTAGCACTGCCAAGCCTATAAGGATGCTGCAGGTTTTTCTTCCCAAAGTGGAGAATCTTGCATTTTTCAGTGTTAAACACCATCAGGTTCTCGTCCACCCATTTGCTGAGCCTGTCCAGGTCAGCCTGGATCACCTGCATATCTTCAGGTGTGGATGCTTTGCCGCAAAGTTTGGTGTCATCGGCGAGCTTGGCCAGTCCGCTTCTGACTCCAGTGTCCACATCATTAATGAAGATGTTGAACAATATGGGTCCAAGGACAGAGCCTGGGGGGACCCCACTGGTCACAGGACACCATGATGAGTGACTTCCATCTATTACTACCCTCTGGGTCCGACCACGGTGCCAGTTCTCCAGCCAGCGGATCGTGGTGGACCCAAGGCCACAATTGGCCAGTTTCGCCAAGAGGTGATCATGGAATACCAGATCGAAGGCTTTTTTGGAGTCAGGATGTATGACATCAGTCTCTTCTCCCTTGTCCAGGTGATGGGTCACCTGGTCATAGAAGGAAATGAGATTGGTCAAGCAAGACCTACCCACAACAAACCCGTGCTGGCTATCCCTTAGGATGTTGGCGTCAGCCAGTCCATTAAGGATGGCCTCTTTAATAAACTTTTCTAAGATCTTCCCCGGGATAGAAGTCAGGCTGATAGGCCTATAGTTAGCCAGATCCACTTTCCTCCCTTTCTTGAAGATCGGCACCACATTGGCCTTCTTCCAGTATTTGGGCACTACACCAGAGTGCCAGGAGTTTTCAAAGATCCGTGCCAGAGGCTGAGCTATAATGCTCGCCAGCTCCGTGAGTACCCTGGGGTGTAGATTGTCAGGGTTGCTGACTTGAAGGTATCCAGCTTCTCAAGGTGTTCCTTCACGAGGTCAGCATTATTATTGTTGTAGTTGATGTATTTTTCTCAGGGACTCTGTTGTATGATTATTGTCTTAAACTGCAGTTTCATTGGAAAGTCATTGCTATAGTAAGACAATGAGATTCTGAAGGTGATGAGCATTACATCAAGCAATTGTGTGGTTGTTGTATTTATACATTTGTATAAAAAAGTAATTAAAAATTTAATATTTTTTCACAGTAGTAAATCTTTCACAGTAAGCAAAGCTGTGCAGTGCTCACCCTCAGAGTTTCCTGATACATATAATTTAAGACACACTTTGTTTTCCGCATCCTAAAAAGACAACATATGTTTTGGAAAGGGCAGAAATAGCCCATGTACCCCTATGCAGCATGGGGCACAAATGGTTCTTAGAGATTTAAGCTATTATTATTGTAATATTGTAGGAGCACTAGTCATGAGCTAAGATCTGACAGTAAGAGACATAGAATATACATAGAATAAAAAGATGGCCACTACCCTAAAACAGCTTAGTATAAAATGAGACAGTAGATGGATACAGACAGATTGGGAAGAAAAAGGAAATGAAGTAATAAGTTTTCTGCTTCACTGTGACCCTACTGTGAAAGGGAGGATGTGGAATCAAAGCACTCCTCCTGCACAGCAGACCTCTAACTAGGTCTAGAACACCAGGAGCTACTGCGGCTGGGTTGATGTTATTAAACAAATAAAAAAATGTTATATTTAAAAAGCATTGCCTGGTTGGATTTGAGAAGTTGCAATCTATACAATCCTTTCTAAAACACACCAACATTTTTAGCCTTATGTCCAGAGAAGTTTAGGGGATGATCTTGCATAAGTCTTTAAAATACCCTTTATTTATTTTCATGTATATTGATAGAAATAAAACACCACCTTAAATTTCCTTTGCACCAGTAAGTTCCTACAGCTTAACTATTCTGCCCACTGTCATTTCTACTTGACAAGAGACTGAACATGTATGTGTTGATTGTGTATTATTGGTGCTTAGATTGTGTGCTATTGGTTGCTTGTACTACTGGTTGCTTAATACTGGGACATGCATCCCAATGTGTGTTTGTTTGTTTTTTTATTTGAACAGGGACATCCTGCGCTGGTGAAGGTCTTGTCCCAAGTATATGGGAGGATTTGTGGAAGGAAGATCGACCCTTACACCGATATCTTGGTGACAGTGGGAGGATATGGATCTCTGTTTAGTTCAATGCAGGCATTAATTGAAGAAGGCGATGAAGTAAGCTGCATTTGAAATATTTTACCATAGCCACCAAAATAAAATCTGTTATTTTGGTTGTTCATTTTTTAAGTTCTGGTTTAAATAAATGTGGCTTGAACTCCTGTTTGACTGTCACAGATTAAATTAGCTACATCAGATGATTGTATCATGGAGACCAGAGCTTGTTGAATACTTTCAGAGGCTGCAGTAAGGAAACCATCCTGTGAATGCTTCCCCTCCCATTTGCTGGCATGCAAAACTCCTGTCCTGTTTGCGATACCTGGAGTACAACACCCACCGATTCTTATTTTAGAAAACTTGTGGGTTGCTGTCTATATCAGAATAGCCCTCTTATTTCAGGGTTTGATTCACACTATTGTTCGTAGCGCCAAAAAAGAGTAAGCTAATTTTTAAAGTGATGCTCATGCCTCAATATTTTGGTTTTCTACATTAGATGTGATGATTCATCTCTTTGCTATTACTCCTTCTCCTTTTTACTTTGATACTGGAATTAGTTTTTTAGGAAGCAGTGTTTATTGTCTGCAACTGACAAGTGTGCTTGTTTTGGTCTGGTACGCCGGCTTTCATCCTTTTATTGGTTTTACTTCTGCCTTGTCTTCTCTTCATTTCTTGGTGCTTTGAGCTTCTGTTCTCCCTGCTTACCAGCCCTTGATTCTTTCCTATTAACACCACATTTCGCCATTGTCCTCTGTCTGTCTTCCCCATCTCTTCACGTTTTGTGCCCCTGTCCCCAAGCACGTTTAACATTATATGTAAGCCATAGATGTAGTGTCTAACTCTGGAAGAAATGACTGCATCTTATCTTTGAAGTCTTATCAATATTTGTTGTTTAAATGAAGCAGTACTTGAAATTATTAGATGAAAATTCTGCAACGTCAGATCAAGGTTGAATACCAAAGATGCACAAGAAAACCATGTGGCCAGAGTATGTCCAAATAGAGCAGCAATTCTCAACCTTTTTAGACTCAAGGTACTCCTTCATAGGCTCAAGGCACCCCTCAGAAAATGCCAGCTCTTAGTTTTCACTTGACTACAAAAGAATAATGGAGCAATTCTTTTATTGCAAAGAACTCAACTTAATAGATCACAACAGGTCAGAATGTTTTTAACACTAGGAATTCCTGTTTGAAATCTGTGTTTGTCTTGTGAATCATCTGACAGTGCACAACTAACATGCTAACACTGCATAGCACCCCATGGAACCCTTGAAAGGATCTTGAGGAACCCAGGGTGCCATGGCAACCTGGTTGAGAGTCACTGGAACAGAGTAATAAGATATCTTTACCTATTGTTATGTGTCAGTTTTCACCTTTTAATTTCAGGTGATAATAATAGAACCCTTTTATGACTGTTATGAACCCATGGTGAAGATGGCAGGGGCAAAACCTGTTTTTATCCCACTGAGATATGTGAGTATATTGATTTAAAAAATATATATATTATTTAATATATAGAATTCAGGATTCTGTTTTAAGGTTTGATAACCATGCTGTAGGAGATTTGTTCCTGCATAGTTTTTCGTAACATTTAACTGTATAATAAAAAGTGGAAGTCTTCACAGTGGTATAATTCAAAAGCTTTATAGATACAGCATTCTCAGGATTGGAAAAGGCATTGTTTCCTATTTAATACAATTTAAGTATTCTGAAAGCTTCTCAGGTCCTTTTATTAGACATTATTCAAAAGGTTTTAAGATGCAAAATAAGGAAAGGGCTATCACCAGGCAGTGCAGTTTCTGTATGTATTGGTTTCTGATCTTATTTCAGAAGCTGACATTGTGACAGGATGCAGCTTCTTCCCCAAATCTGCCTACTAAATTAAGATTGATCTTTCAGTTGAAAAATTTACCATAAATGTTTTTTCTTTGATTTTGCAGAATAAGTTCTGCTGTGGTTCAGTTTTAGATAGCAATATCTCCAATATTTGAAAGAAATCTCCTAATTGGTTGTTGTGAAAGGAGCAGGAAGCTTTTGTAACACATCTAGAGTGCTTAGAATCGAAGCAACATAGTATCATTCTGCCACCCTATGGAAGCCGCTGTACTTGCATTCTGGCTGGTTGAGTTTCCACAAATTTGAGAAAAGGACAAGACAGAACTATGAATAAGTAACTGCTAAGCACTGTCAGCAGCATCCAGAACACTTGCAGGGATTTCCCTAAATAAGAGGAGTTAAAATTGTTAGTGTTTGTTTAGGTGAATGATAGTTTTTCAGTACTTACAGAGAGGGTCTGTTTGAGTAATTCTTGGCCAGGGAGGCCATAGAATCAGGACTTCTCCCACACTAAAAAAGTAAGTCCTGTAGAATGTAGTGGGGGACTTGAATGTTCTCATGGGTACTTAAGGGTAATAGAGTTTGGTGTGATTTCCATGAAGATTTCTGTACATCCATTATTTTCTATGTAGGTTCTTACGCTTTGCCCATCACTATAATAGCTGCATACATGAAGATTCATAGATGTTAGGTTCAGAAGGAACCTCTGTAGGTTATCATGTCCAGCCCCCTGCTGTGGGCAAAAAAGAGTGCTGGGGTCAGACAACCCCAGCTAGGTGCTTGTCCAGTCTCCTCTTGAAGACCCCCAAGGTAGGGGAGAGCACCACCTGCCTTGGAAGCCTATTTCAGATTCTGGCAACCCTTACTATGAAGAAGTTCTTTCTAATGTCCAACCTAAATTTGCTCTCTGTCAATTTGTGGCCATTGTTCCTAGTTACTCCAGGGGGTCCCCTAGTAAATAGAGCATCTCCTATTCCCTGCTTTCGTCCCCTGTTGAATTTATAGGCAGCCACAAGATCACCTCTCAGGCTTCACTTGAGATGGCTGAAGAGATCTAGGTCCCTCAGTCTCTTCTTGTACGGCCTTGCCTGCAGGCCTCTGATCCTACGAGTGGCCTCCTCTGAACCCTCTCAAGATTCTCCACATCCCTCTTGAAATGCGGCACCCAAAACTAGGCCAAGATTAAAAGGGCCATGCTCACTACCCTCTCCTTAATTAACTGAAATGTCTTCCTCTTGCCTTCAGGATGCAGTGAAAACTGTATAATTTCAAGGACACAGATATTTCCTACTTCAACTTTTCTTTGGGTCTTCCCTGGAGGAAAGCATGGTCCAGTATATAGCTTGCAATATACTGAAGTAATGCAGATATTTATTCTGATTATAGAAAAAAGCTGGAAACTCTGTATCTAGTGCTGACTGGGTTTTAGATCCCACTGAACTTGCAAGTAAATTTAATTCTAAAACAAAAGCGATTATACTGAATACGCCTCACAACCCAATAGGCAAGGTAAGACTTCTTTATCATAGTCATAATAGTTCCAGAATGAGCGTTATATTCACAGATTAATGTACTGGCCCTCACTTTTTTGCATTCTAGGTATATACCAAAGAAGAACTCCAGCTAATAGCTGATCTCTGTATTAAACATGACAGCCTGTGTATCAGTGATGAGGTGTATGAATGGCTGGTGTACACAGGAAATAAACACATTAAAATAGGTACTGATATTTGTATATTCACAAGAATGGTTGTGGAAGGGTTTCATAGATGTGCTTCCCTAAGATATATAAATGATGCTGTCAAGATGTTCAAATGGTAAGTTTAGTCTAATCTAAAATAATTATACTCTGTGGAAAAATTACCTCTATTATTCAAATATTTATTTAAAAGATTTTAAAGGTAGAATTTTCAAAAGCTCTTAAATGATTTAGGAACACCAGTCTCATAGAAAGTTGTACTTCTAAATCACTTACAGGTGTTAGAAAAATCTCACCCTAATTTTATTATTTTGATTCGGAGAATGGTAGAATAATCACTACTTCTATATCTACAGAGTTATGTACATTGCTGTTGAGATAATAGATGGAAGACAAGTTAGTTAATTTTCCCTTTTCCTTACTGAGGCTGGGGTGTAACAAGAAACCACACTATTTTTGGCTCCATAATAAACAGAAAAAAAAACAGCCAAAAGAACAGCTATAGTGAGTAGAAGATATACGTCCTACTCTGTCCTCCCAAGCATGGAGAGTATATTACGAATAACGAATGCTATGAACAGGAATTTCTTGTGTTTGCCAGTGTTAAGAATTGCTGCTGGGCAGTGTTGTTATGCATATTCCAGGGATGAATCGGACCACAGTATTTCATGCTGTCACTGTCCTTGAAATAGGATCTGATCTAACGCCTTTTGTATTCAGTGGGGGTACTTTTATTGACTTCACTGAGATTAGACCGTTCGAGCAGATGTATTCAGTTTGCACAGTCAAAATATCTAAACCATATGCCCTAATCCTGTAAGCAAGACTAAGTCCCAGTAAAGTCAGTGACATGGTAAATACACTAAAACTAAAAATGGGAGTATATGTAGGGTTGTGCTCTAGCTGTCATCTTATTTGAAAAGACTGAGGTATGCTACCTCAGCCATGCAAAGGTTTTGGATATGAAAGTAGCTGCTTGCTGTGGACTTACACATGGAGTTATAGGTCGTTACGGTGAAGGTGAATGTTGTTGCACAACAGAGAAACCCCTTGAGTTTAAACTGCTGATCCCCAAAGGCATAAAATGGACTTGAGTGGGATCCAGGAGAGTTGTGCTCTGTTCCTGGCCGTGACAGTGATATCATGTGTGACCCTGAGCAAGATACTTTGCCTCTCTGTGCCTTGGTTCCCCTTCTCCAAAGTGGCAGTGGTGATATCCTCCTCTTACAAAATGAGCTTGGAGATTTACTGATGAAACCCCCTTGCAAAGGCTAATCCTTATTAATGAAAAAGTTTGATATAATTTACTATAGCGATGTTGGAATACTGATAATTCAGTGAGTTATTTGCTGATCATAGGGGTGCAGTGCCAGTGCACTTAAGGTTTCTTGTAATGGCTCAAGAGGTATGAGTTTGAACCTTGCTCTGCATTTGTACTAACAGCTTAGCTGACCTATTTTAAATGGGTACCAGGTTGTATGGTTTGGGCAGTCAAGGGCCAATGGATATAATTGCTCCCTTGTGTGCTATTGGCCACAGGAACTGGTGTGCCTTAACCACATGAGCCCGATGAGTCAGGAAGCCCTGATGGACCTTTGACCTTGAGTTGGAGATTTGTATGTTAAGCTCCCATTGAGTGCAGGGGGGTGAGTAGGCCACAGGTTTTTTGCTTTTCTCCCACGTGGTGCTTTTTTAGGGCCATCCTAGTAGCTCAGTGGTAATGGAACACAGAGAAAAGAGGAAACACACTGTCATCACTTTTTATTTCAACATTTTGAAGCAAAAAAAGAAAAATTAAAAATGAGAACTACCACATGAACAAAAGGCATTTTTATGACTCAACATAAAATGTACGTTCCATTGTGATAATGACTCAAGTTAAAGATGAAAATGTTAGTCAAGTGGGTTTAGCTGCATACTGGTAACTGTATGCAGCTAACATGGGATGATCTTGTAATTTATTGTTAAAATCTACATACCATAAAAGCTTCAGGGCAAAAATGTAAATGATAAAGTCATTTTAGTAAAAGAAGCCAGACACTTTTCTAACATCTAGCTCGTTAGTTTTTTATAACTATACATAAAGATAATATAAGAAAAAATGTATCCACTATTTCAATATTTAGATACTGTAATAGTTCTATATTGCACTTCACATATTCCATCAAATGCAGTGACACATCTTTCATGAAAGATGCAGAATGGATATTGTATCAATTTACAGAGTCTGGTGGTGGTTCTTTAATATAATCTAATATGGGTTGCTAGCCATAGATCATAACATTAGCATAGTCTTTGTGCTGTCGCCTAGATAGTTTCCTCTGGCATAGAACACTTCATCGTGTCTGTAACCCTTATCTGACTTCTGTAAAAGTGCAAACCTCCTATGAGTAATAACTAGAGTTGCTTTGGTAGATTTAGAAATCACATATTATAACTGAGGATTTTTTGGCATCTCAACAAAGAGAGTAGCGGCTCAGGTAGCATAGAATCATAGAAATTTAAGGTTGGAAGGGAATTCAGGAGGTCATCTAGTCCAACCCCCTGCTCAAAGCAGGATCATCCCCAGCTAGATCATCCCAGCGAAAACTTTCTCTAGCTGGGTTTTGAAACCTCCAAGGATGGAGTTTCTACTTCTCTGGGTAACCTGTTCCAGTGTTATACTATGTTCATATATAGTACCTTACTGAGTATTCCCAGCACTTGGTTGCTTTTACAGTTATATTCAAACTTTATATGGTTAAATACAGTTCCATGAAGAAACTGAAAAAGTGTAACTCTCTTTTCAAATAAAATATTGGGAACAAATTTTCTGATTGGAAAAGCAATGTATTGCCTTTGAGTGTGGTTACTTTTTTATAGTCCTCTTGCTGTCTGTCATAGAGCCTTAAGAAAAATATGCTTGGAAGGGACCTCAAGAGGTTATTTCCTCCTCAAAGTAGGATCATCCTTGTCCTCACAACTGAATTCCTGGGATTAGGTGGCAAAGCAGTCTCAGTAAGAGACAGCTGAAATTTTGACATTCAGAGATACTTCTCCATTTCTTCTTTTATTTTGAGTTTAACTTCGGAATTTTTCTCTTTGATTGGTGATACCCTCTATTAATACACTGTAGCTTCTAGCTAGGAGCAATGCATATTTTATGTTTTTATGGAACATGTAGGTGCATTCTGTCTAACTGTATTTTGTATGCAGCTACTTTGCCAGGGATGTGGGAGAGAACAGTAACTATTGGAAGTGCTGGAAAGACATACAGTGTAACTGGCTGGAAGGTGAGAACAAGTGGAAAATTAACTTAATAAATGATAGCATGTATTTATCTGACTTGAAAATTGACTTATGTTCTGTCATTTGAAAATTTATGGTACTGCCAACACTTGAAGGAACTTGCAGGTGATATTTATTTGGAACCACCACCTGTCTTGTTACAAATTCATTCTAATCCTACTCTATTCATTCTGAAATAAGTTCTTGTGAAAATGAAAGGATGGAGAATATGCCATACAAAACACAATTTGATTTTTTTGGGGGGAGATCACACAGATAACACAGGGACCATTGTCTAGTTTTACAACATCCCAGACACCCAACAATCTGATTGTTTCCACTGATCAGGTATTCAGCTTTTTAAAACAACATTATTTGTGCCCACCATTGTTTTTAGTCCACAAAACTGTACACATAAAACTCAGGTTGTGTTCCTGGGTGGTGTAGGCCCTCTAAGCACTTAAGCAGTAACAGTATTTCTTTGGAATACTGTAATAAAAGTAAGGGCAATATATTATGTCTAGGAGATCACTCAGACATGCTAAAACAAATGCAGATATTTAGTTTGGTGGCCAGATTTTCAGATGTGCATACATTAAATGTGCTTGAAAAAACTCATTTTGAGCATCTTGCTTTTCTTATTCATCTGCTTTCTTTAAATTACACCACACCATATCAGCATCTCAGTGGTATATACAAGGACATATCTGAGTGTGTTTCTAACAAAGCATTTGTTTTGTTCTTTTCTGCACCTTCATAATTTACAAAACTGCCTTGACTCCTTTCATAAAATATTGGGAACAAATTTTCTGATTGGGAAAGCAATGAACTTTTTTTGAGTGCTTTTACTTTTTGAAATCCTCTGGCTATTTGTCATAGAGTCTTAAAAATATGGTTGGAAGGGACCCCAGGAGGTTATCCTGTAAAACACCCTTTATAACATGAAGATGTCAAAGCAACAGTTAAGGAATGACATTGATTATCACAATGTGAATTATCAGTTTGCTTTCTGTCCTTTAGATTAGGCTTCTGTTGCCTAATAGTATCTCTTAAGATGTGGGATTCAGTAACATTCTAACTAGAAAATAAATCCTGCTCTCAGTCATTTCTAAAGCTACTGTTCTACAAAATGGGTGGATTTTATGTAAGTTAGTAAAGTTGCACTAGTGCTCTTGGACTGATGAATGTCTTAAGGTTTTTTTGTGGGGGAGTTGTTTTGTTTTGTGTTTTAATTTTTATCCTTTTGCTATAATTCCTCATTGCTCACATGCCTCATCTTGAAAAAAAAATTATATGTTTTCTCCCCACTTAGCTTGGTTGGTCCATTGGTCCCCAGCATCTTATAAAACATTTGCAAGTTGTTCAGCAGAATACGCTGTATACCTGCTCCACTCCATTGCAGGTGGGTATAAGTGGAGGCAGGGAAGCACTGTGTTTGTATAGCCTTGCAGAAAGGAACACATCTTTAGGCAATGTTGCAGAAAAAGTTAATAATGAATTTTGAGGTATCAAAATGTATATATTGTAGCTTGTTATGAATAAAAGTGCCGGTGAACAAGACAAATTAGAGAGTAGCTAACCAGACAGACATCTTAAGAAACACTAGAACCCTGGAAATTCTCCCTTTGTTAATCTGTAAGCCTGATCATTGTTGAATAAACTCTGTCAATTTCACTTCTTTCTTAGCAGTAGTGGCTGCTTGCAGATGTTAAAAAAAAACAATGTGTTTTATCAGAAGAAGCGGTGCATTAGTTTGACCCAGCTCTGCAGCATCTGTATAGATTGGGCACTTCAGCGGGGCTTTCAGGCACTTCTGTCTAAAGGTGATTCAATCAGCTATTAGATAAAAGCACCAAAAAAGCCCCATTAAAGTGCCTGATCTAGAGGTTGTGCGAGCCAGGTCCAACTAAAGTGCTGCCTCTTCTTGGAACATGCAGGGCTTGGTGTGGGAATGCGCCAAGTTTAAAGTGCTGTTTTTTGGTAGGGAGTTAACATGTACAAGTAGCCATTGTAATTACAGGATGCTGCAGTGAAGTTTCGTTTTACTAAGAATTTCTTATATCCAATAGACTACAGCTTGGATACTGTATCATCAGTTATTTAGTCAAAAGTGTAAAAGCGTAAAACAAGGTTTATGGCTTCCTCTGTTTGCAGAGTCTATGACCCTTACTAATTCTATTGGGTGTTTCCCAAAGTGTATGAAAATAATTACATGTTATGATGCAGCGTGAGAAGACTCATATCCTATGCAACATCACAGCAACTTCTCCCAGTGACTTCAGTAGAAAGGGCCCACTCAAATGATCACTTGTACACTAATCATGTTTGCAGGAGGCTTTGGCACAAGCTTTCTTGATTGACTTTAAACGCATGGATGACCCAGACTGCTACTTTTATTCACTGTCTCGAGAACTGGAAGGCAAGCGTAATCGGATGGCTCAGTTGCTTCAAGAAGTTGGATTGAAGCCTGTCATACCAGAGGGAGGATACTTCATAATCGTGGATGTTTCTGCACTAAGTTAGTGAACGTTCATTGAAGGAGTGGGATCAAATGCTGTAGTTAAGGTTAAAATGTAACTTCAATTTTAACTTCCTCCTTTTCATTTTAAAGCAGTTTTTTTTAGGGGTGAAATTTTACATATTTGGTCTTGGCCTAATGTGATTTTTTGTTTTTTTTGTTGTTTTTTTTTGTTTTTTTTGTTTTTTTAAGGTTCAACAAAATCCATTAATCTAATTTAGAGTTATATGGGATTTCAAATTACTACCTTTACTTTTCATTTAACCAAATCCTGTGGTTCTTATAGGGAGGTTGTGAAATTGCAAGAGAGAGACAGTACTTAAATGGACTTCTTTATGAAGGTCTAAAAT